AGAAGGACTGAGCCAACAATCAACCATCAACACACACCAACACAAAAAACTAAAATATTTTGTACTAACTCCTTTAAAGCAATGACAACATTGTAATTTATTTTCGGTCTTCTTATCATCTATAAATAGGAGAGCTATTTTATGTGTTTTTTTTTTGAATCCCTGCTTGTGACACCTATTTTTTATGAAATTAAATGGGTACATCGGGAACAACCTGATTCGCCCCTAAGGGGCAAGTCTTCCACTTTTCTTCCTGTCTCTCTCTCTCTCCGTCTCTCCCTCGCTCAATTTCCTTTCTTCGGTCCCCAACGCTCTATCTCTTGGGCACGATTTACCGGACAAATTTGGATTTAACACTATTTAACCTTTGTAGCAGCAGCAATTTTTTTTGTTTTTTGGCTCTGCAGAACTTTTTTTCTTTCTTCTTTTCATGAGTAATTTGATCTTTCTTTTAATGGAAGATGACAGTTATTGAATTGCGGACTGTTGCATATGACTCGAAAATTTAGATGATAATATAGCTTTTACCTTAGCTACCTTGAAAGATGTTACCTTGGGATTGATGAATTTTGAAAAGTGCTTGGAACGACCTATTGAACACGAAATGCTGATATCACTTTTTAGTTTTACCTTAATATTTTCTCATTCAAAAAAGAAAAAAATAATTGATCGACTAATTCCAATATCATTCTAGCAAACATGTCGGAGGATAGTTGTATCCTTTTTGCGAAGTTCTGGATCAATCCAAGGATAAGCCCTCTTATGCTGATGAAGTTTCATGCATTGCATTGGATGTGACAATGGTTTCAAATTTCAGAGCAATTGTTGATATGATTCTCGATCATAGAATGTATGTGCAAGCCTCCATCCTAGATTTTTTCAAATCATGGACCAAGTTCTTCGAGTGTTTATCAATCAAGATGATCTCTTGTGACTTTGTTTATGGTCGAGTACACTGGATGGGTTGGCTTGAGAAATTGTGGCTGAATAGCAGTTGCTTCCATTGAATCTACTCAAGGATGGCCCAGGTTTTTCATTGGTTTTCAATGCCCTCGCGTGTATGTTATAACATGAATTTACTCCATGCCTTTCTCACTTGGATTTTCTTCTGTATCGGTTATTAATTCTAATTAGGAACAGAATCTTTTCAGTGAGGCTGTTTAGTTAGTTAGCTTTAGTTATTATGTGTTTGCTTTCTCCTAATTAAGAAGGCTGATGTCATGAAAATAAATGAATAAAGTCCTTTCTTATCTCAAAATTCCTTAGTTTGAGCAGCTCAAATTATTAGAATGTATCTAGGATCTTATCTTCTGTTCTGCCTTTGTTCCCCTTTAGCATAATGTTGTTTCCACCACCTTTTCATTGTTTTCCCGCTCCTTCCCGTTCCTTTTCCACTACTACGTGACCTGCTTACATGAGCTATTACCCAATTGCTAGACTCAGGAACCGGAGTTGACCTGAACCAATGACTTGCTGGATAGTTGGGTCCTGCTACCCCATTTTAGAGAACTTAAAAACTGACAATATTTGGATGGTTTCTGAGATCGGTATAGAAACAACTGGAGTTGACTGGATTTGCACCCCTGTTATCATTTGTTACTTGCTTCACTGCTTTTTTAGTAAGCTTATCATTTTGTACCAAGGGAAGGTGATACCGGAAGTGGGAGCTCAAATCCCAAAAGAAACACAAATATTATTATTGAAATTGAAGTTGGTTACAACGGTGACTATTCAACAGGAAATAAAGAGATAAAAAACACAAAATACACAAGCTAATACCGCTAAAGCGTATCGGGGTGTAGGTTGGCTAGGTGGATCGAGATGACTGGCGGGAGTGGCAACAAAAATGGATTGTTCATGGAAACGAGGGGAAGATGCAGAAATGCAGGGACAACAAGAATGAGGTGTTCCCTGACTGTCCAGGGCTGCAACGACACCACCTCAAAGTAGGATATAACCGGAGCACTACCACCTCCTCGGATACATCCCTAAAACAAGGAGAACAACTCCACACAAGAATCTAAACTTGGAAGCAACAAATACTAGCCTAAAATTGTGAAAATAACAAATAAGTACTCCTACATGAAGGGGGAAGCAGAAAAGAAAGGAGGGGTGTGGGTGGCAGTCCTACCTTGTCAAAATCGCGCCACAGGCCGCTTGGCCTGGGTTCTCCTAGGACCGACCCTCAACTGGACCAGTCCGCCCTGTCTGCTACTTCAGCCTACTCGGGAGTGTCCCGCACTTGCATCAATCTCTCGAAATTGGAGGAGCTTCGACCTCATTCGTACAAGTTTTTAGCTCCTTGTGGAACAACGTCCTGGTAGGTCGATCATGTCGACGTTGTCATTCCACAACACATTCTCGTAGAATAGGTATCTGTTCTCTTTTGACATATATTGAGTTGGAGCTGCATATAGAGACAGATTCCAGTAATATAACTCTTCGAGACCTTTAGCTTGAAACCTTTTCCTTCCACTGTTCTTACATAACGGACTCTAGCTGATGAACAAGTAGATGAAGAGATATCAATTATTGGATGATATCTTTGGAAGGTTGTGCCCCTTTCACTAGCAACCATTCAGGAGAGACATATTCTTCATTGACAGGACCTGGATCCCATTGAAAAATTTTCTTCTCCCTTAAGCTCTCAAGATAAATTTTAAGACTGGGGTTCATCCCCCATGTTTGGGCATCTGTTGATGGGTACCCTGCTAAGCTGAATTTCACATCTGAAATACTCGCCATAATAGTCCAAACACGGTACAAAATGACTCCTTTTCCTATTTGTTGAACCTCCCTTTGCAGGGACAATTCAGGAAGGGGTCCATAGATCATAATTATCTGTATTTCTTTTATATGTATTGGCTCTTTGGACTCATAACTGTATTGCCCACTTACCATGATGTCGTGGGAGTCTTTCCCACGAGTTTAGCTAGGACTAAATGCATATTGTCCTTCTCAACTGGAAGCGACTTATCCTCCTTTGTGTCTCCACATTCTTCAATATCTACAATGTCCTCACCGAATTTTTCAACGCCTTGCTCACTGAAATAGATCAATCCCCTGCTTGTGCATTTTACTTCAACATGCCCAAATCCCTGGCACTTGGAGCATTTCCTGGCTGTGACAGACCTGCGGATTGGTTTCGCTAGCTAGTAGGCAGAGGGGGTTGTTTGGTGAGGCGGCCTCTCCACTTCTCTGCAACTTCTGTCGGTAGTAAGTTGGTAGAAACTGGCGTTGTGCCTCTATTTTCATCTTCAGATCTTCTTGTTCTTCTCTTCGACTCCCCAGATTACGGTCGGGGGCAACCTCCCATTGGATTTCATCTTCAATGTCCGTAAGACACCACTGAAGTCAGCAAATCTCTCACCGTATCTCTTTTCTGGAAGGCTCGGGCATGCTTGTTGGTGTTATGGCTTTGGTTTAGGGTTGGGAGGTGAAAGAGGGTGAAGGAGACTCATTGACGTGTAGAAAAATTAATTTGGGTGTTACTAATTTTGAAAATCTGCAAGGGAAAAATTAGGGTTAGGTCAAATTCTTGCTAGAGGTTTTGTAATCCGAAAGAAAAAAATTCGTAAGTATGGCTTGGCCAGGAACGAATGTTGGGAAACCCTAGAATAGAACTAGGATTAGACTAACTCTGATACCAAATAATACTGGAGGAGGGAGCCTAAATCACAAAAGAAATGTAAATATTATTTCTCAAATTGTAATCGGTTACAACGACTCTTAAACAGGAAATAAATGATAACAAACACAAAACGACACAAGTAAACTCCGCTAAAGCGTATCCCAAGTGTGGTGGAGGTTGATTGGGTGAATTGGGATGATTGACTGATGTGGGTGGTAGCAACAATGGAATGTTGATGGCAGCGAGGAGGAGGTGTAGAAATGCAGGGAAACAAGTAGGGACAACAAGAATGAGGTGATCCCTAGCTGTTCAGGGTGACAACGACACGACGGAGGACTGGAAGGGTGTAGGGTACATGAGCTA